TCATTGAAAACAGCAGTAACAGACACGCTTCATCAGTAGCTACAGCAGCAGCCCCATCACCATCGTCATCATCAAGAGTAGCATCATCATTGTCATCAGCCACAGCAGTCACAGCAGCAGCAATGAGGGGCACGTGACCTAAGAAATCGCGTGACTCCACGACAAACGCGAGCCTGTTCAAATCTGCAGAGTCCCTCTCAAGGTCATTTCAAGCGATGAGCCTGGAAGCAGACGGACGAACCTCCCCCCCCCCCGCCAGTAATTTAATTCCACCCAAATTACGGTGCCACGCTTGCTGTTGCCATTATTTGCCGAAGCTCCGGCTTCCGCGAACAGCAAACACTCTGTTAAGCTCAGAGCAAGGCCGTGCCACACAACAACTCCGAATCAGGTGATCAGGGCGCGCACGGCTTTCCGTTGCTTAATTCCACCCTGGCCTCCGCCCTGTCACTCTGCTCGTCATGGCAGGGCAGCTGGGGGGGGGGGGGTTGAGGTGGGAGGGGGGGTTGAGGTGGGGGGGTGACGTGGTGGGGGGGTTGAGGTGGGGGGTGACGTGGGGGGGGGGTAGCACGCCCCATGTCAAGTCCAAGGTTCAGAGGTTCCGTAACCTGGCCTCTGCTGCAATGGGAGGCGCCCCCATAACCCCCCCCCCCTTGTTGTTGGCGCCGGCGCGAGGGCGCGCGCACGCACGCGCGTGGCGGCCGCCTTCGATCGCCGCCAGACCCCCCCCCCCATCTCCACCCTCGCCCGGCTGGGCCTGCGAGCCATCGGCGTGGAAGAGACGCGGCGGGGGGAGCAGGCAGCCACGCGGCACGCGGCGGCGGTGTCAAAGGGTGGAGGTTGGGGGCATCCCAGGCGAACTTTTCCCGGCCGGCTCGTGGTCGCGGGCAGCCCCACCGACCCCCGCCCGCCAGCCCGCCCCCCACCACGCGACACGCATCGTAAAAGAAAAAAACCCATTGCCTCGTTCAAATTCCAGCCGGGAGATAAAAGGCGGGGTACAATCTCTTTAGTGGTAAAGTGTTTTATTTTCGGAGCGAGCCAAGGACGGTGGTCGTGGTGGTGGTGGGGTGGGGGGTGGGGGGGTGGGGGCAGGTCGAGGTGATGTTGACGGTGTTGGGGCTGGCAGGTATTCAATTAGAAGGCGAGCGAAGGGGCGCTCCGAATGGTGTGGTCCAGTCGGGCATCTCGGCAATTGAGTTCTTGACGCGATTACCCGGCGAGACAGGCCAAGTAATGCACCGTTGCTTTGTTACAAGCCTGTTTACGGTAATATATTATGGATGTTTTATATCTATAATACATTATACATTTGTTGACGTGTTTCACATGACCGGCAATATAAAGAGGTGAAGGTGTCAGTGCAGACACCTTTATCAAGGTAATGGCAATAGCGTCTTTTTCTAGATAACAGCTTGTCAGCAGAGCCATTGACCTTTATCTTTTCGGTTTAGCAATCAGTCGTCTTACAAATCACACACGCGCACAGGGTGGGCTGTACATGTGTGCGAGAGTATTTCGCGGTTTAAGCAAGCGTACAATCACTTTGTACAAAGCAATTACACCCGGTCACCACATTCATTCATTCTTTGTACACGCGTTTAGCAGCCTTACCATTCTTTCCATAGGATTCACAAAAAAGATCCCGGGATCCCACGGAGCAAAAGCTACTGAGAGAGACAGAGACAGATAAGTCCCAGTGCCCACGTCCTTCTCTGTAATCCCACGTGTGCCAAGGGTGAAAGGTAAAAGGCGCAGCCCTGCAAGTGCCTGGTCACGCCACTGCCGACGGAAGGTGCCTCCACTCGAGGGAGTTCTGGAGAGCCCCGCTCTCTCTCGAGAGTATTTTGACCGACTCTGCTCGTTCATACTGGCCCAGGCATCTTGGAAGATGGCCCACGCTTTACCCCACCACACGCCACACCTGCTACACCTGCTGTTTGACTGCGGTATGCCGGGTGGACGGACGTGGCGGGATGTTTCGTGTGCCTTGCCGGGGGATCGGATCTCACCGGTGCTCTCTGGATGCCAAGTCCATGGATTTGCCCCAGGTCTTAAAAAAGAGATGCGTTGTTTCAAAGGCCTCCCGCCCACTCACTTCACCCGGATTATGGCCACAGGCACATCATCATCGTCAACAATATATTTATCATCGTCAGTACAGAGCGGTGATTTCCAACCACTTTGTGGTCACCACCGGCAACCTAACTGTCAACATTTAAATGTTGTCCTTGCGATTGATTAACGAAGTAGAAAAACAGCTTTTAAAAAACACAAACACACAACAACAAAGACAAAACTGTGCTGACAGTTGTACCGAGAGCCCCCATTATGAGGATGTCCTTCGCGATCTCTGCGAGACAGCAGCTGCTGCTGCGTGCGGCGTGCGCGCTGCCGAACAACAAGTGACGTCCTCTGGTCACCCAGATCCTACCGCGGCGCTCGCTTTTTGCCTTTCGCCGCCGAGCAACGCGGAGTCAACACGGCACGTGCATTGCCACAGCCCGTGCGTGTCCACCCGACGAGTGGGTGAGTGGGCGAGTGAGTGAGTGAGCGAATGGGAGATTGGGTGAGCGCCACGGTGGTGAGATGTTAACTACCTTGCCTAGTATCCAGGAGGTCGTGGGTTTGATCCCGATCCTGAAGTTTGCATGTTCACCCCGTGGTCGTGGATTTTTCGACGGGTCCTCCGGTTTTTCCCTCCACATTTAGAATCAACATGCGTTTAGAGTATTTGGCTACTGCTATACATTTCCACGTGATAAGCCATTGTCATTTGTGGCCAGGTTGCTTCTAATAAAGAGCTATATAGCTCAGTGGGCTTACCTGATAAAATAAAAAATAGTTTAGTTTAGAGAAAGACAGCAAATGGGAGAATGGGTGAGCGAGTGAGTGAGCGTGTGAGCGGATGGGAGAGTGGGCGAGTGAGTGAGTGGATGGGAAAATGGGCGAGCGAATGGGCGAGGGAATGGACGAGTGAGCGAGCGGGCGACTGAGCGAGTGGGCGGACGAGCGCGTGAGCACCGTGCGGCTATCTAATTTGTAGTGGACAGGCGTCCTCATTTGACAAATAGTGTTGCTGGGCGCCGAGGTGAAATCAGCCGTAGATAGGACGCATCGTGAGTTACTACCGCTATCATGGATGACACTAATCTCTATCTGTGTCAGATTTCTACTTCGGCGTGCGCGTGTTCTTGAGCCGTTTCCTCGTTACCGCGACGAGGTTTGAGGTGGGAGGAGGTGGCGGTTGTTTGATGCACAGTGCAGCCTTCCTACTGCTTCACGGTCTGACGTAGGAGGGGCCTTGTGCAGATAACACTTTCTGAACGATGATGTCAGAAGACTTTACCATTGCTTTTTATGGCCATTTAAAGGACCGGGTTACCGATTAAAGGCGCTTATGTCGTGGTGGCTTGGAAAGGTATAAAGGTTGGCAAGCAGTATAAGTGTGAAGATTACCAAAATGGTTGAACGTTTATGGACTTCACGAGATCGCATCATTTTCCAAAGTTACCCCCGTTTCATATTAATATCGCTTTAATCTTATTTAACGTGTAATTCGAAGGCTGCCCCAGCGGGTGAACATTAACGCCGCGACACTTTGCTGCTGGCTGTGGTTTAACCGGAGGAACGTCACGGTGTCACGGAATCTGCTGACAGGCACGGGGTTTGCCATAAACCACCTTCGCTTCTGTTATAGTGGCCAAGATGTTTTTTTTTATCTTTATTTTTGACCAAGTAAGGCTCGCTGAGCCACACAGCTCTTTTTCAGTTGGGCCCTGGCCACAAATGATAGCCCAATGAAGTGGCTTATCGCGTGGAAATTGATAGCTGCCATAATACTCTGAACGCACGTTGATTCTAAACGTGGAGGGAAAAACCGGAGGACCCGGAGAAAATTCCACGTGACCACGGTGAGAGAGAGAGAGAGAGACACGCAATCTCCAACTATAGAACAGGCGTCGGAGCCGGGATAGAAACTCACGACCTCCTGCATATCAGGCGAGGTGGTTAACATCTCGCCACACGGTGCCCCTTCTCGCTATCTCGAGCGCCCTCCGTACCCGAGCGGCGTGACACGCACGCCCCGGCACACTCCGTCCTGCGGTGTCGTCCCCGGCGCCGTTCCCCCCTTTCGCACACTCGCGCGCTCCGAGTTCCCCTCCGCCTGCTCACGCGCGATCGTTTTGATTCGATGCACGTGATTGCCATCGTTTATTTATTTTTTGCGCTGCACTGACAAGCTTCGAAAAGGTTCGTGCGCGATCCATCATGAACGGAGGCGCTGGATAAATGCAGGATGACGGGATCATTCAGGTAAAACAGTTAGAAGAGTGGGCCAAATTACTCGCTAGAGGGGCTCTTTAGAGCTCCCTGTAGCGGAGGCCCTTCCGCCAACAGGGATGTCAGCAAGAAGTTTTAGGGAATGCCCCTTTGCCGTTCGCTTTTATTTAAGGCGAAGTTTTTATTTTTCATCCATGCCGCGGTATGATGGAGATCACTTTGTTGAGTTGCAGAGGTGCGTGGTTCGTGTACCCTCTATACTGTGGTGATTGTGTTTTTTGTTTTTGTGGTACACGCTATGCACAGGTTTATTAAAATAGAATTATGTTGTAAACATTTATGGCACGGAGTTCATGCAAACAAACAAAATGCGGCTGTTTTTCATCATACGTGGGAGTGGCGACGCAAAGGTTCGCCCACTGTGATTATCAGTCCAACAACCTGAGTTTCAACTCCAGCCACGGCTAACATGGTCGGCGAATATCTGAACTGGTCCCGGGCTCCACCTCTCCCTTCATCAATCTACACTGAGCAGCCGAGTGACTTTGGCAGTTTATTGCCAAAGCTCTGTAAATTATTACACTTTTGCATGACGACTCACGAGGTATTCTCTCCATAACAAATTTTACCGGCGGATTTCGAAAAGCACCGTCCGAGCGCGGAGCTTGCGTGCGGTCAACTGAGAGTGTTTCCGCCGTCGTCCTCCCTGCGCGCAGTATGACAGCAGGAGACTCAGCCAGCGCGAACTCCGCCTCCAGCAGCAGGGTGTCCGCCCTTGATGACGAGACCATGAACGGGAGCATGGAGTCGAACCCGAGCCACGGCGGCTCGCTGGAGTCCGCGGCGGCGGTGGCGGCGGCGCCCCCTCCGCTCAGCCCGTCCATCCTGGCGCTGCTGTCCCGCACGGGCTTCCAGCTGTCGCACGAGAACGGCCAGCGGCGTTACGGGGGCCCCCCGCCGGGCTGGGAGGGCGCCCCTCCTCCGCGCGGCTGCCAGGTGTTCGTGGGCAAGATCCCGCGCGACTGCTACGAGGACGAGCTGGTGCCGGTGCTCGAGTCGGCCGGCCGCATCTACGAGCTGCGGCTGATGCTGGACGCGGACGCGAGGACGCGTGGCTACGCGTTCGTGACGTACGCCTCGCGGCAGGAGGCGCGCGCCGCCGTGCGCGGCCTCGACAACCACGAGGTGCGGCCGGGACGCCTGCTGGGCGTCTGCTCCAGCGTGGACAACTGCCGGCTGTTCGTGGGCGGCATCCCGAAGACGGCGCGCAAGGAGGAGATCCTGGACGAGATGAGGCGCGCCACCGAGGGCGTCACGGACGTCATCGTGTACGCGAGCGCGGCCGACAAGACGCGAAACCGCGGCTTCGCCTTCGTCGAGTACGAGTCGCACCGCGCCGCCGCCACCGCCCGCCGAAAGCTGCTCAACGGGCCGGGCCACACGGCGCTGCAGCTGTGGGGCCAGCCGCTGGCGGTGGACTGGGCCGAGCCCGAGCCGGACGTGGACGAGGACGTGATGGAGACGGTGAAGGTGCTGTACGTGCGCAACCTCATGCTGGGCACCGGCGAGGAGACGCTGCGCGCCGTGTTTGAGGCGGTGGCGCCGGGCGCCGTCGAGCGCGTCAAGAAGATCCGCGACTACGCCTTCGTGCACTTCTCGGGCCGCGAGGAGGCCCTGCGCGCCATGAGGGCGCTCGACGGCTCGGACGTGGACGGCGCCTGCGTGGAGGTCACCCTGGCGAAGCCCGTGGACCGCGAGCAGTACTACAGCCGCTACCAGCGCACGCAGCAGCAGCAGCAGCAGCGCGCCGGCACGCTGGGCGTGGTGACGGCCGGGGTGGAGGCGCTGCCCGCCGGCGGGTACGTCTACTCGTACGACCCCTACAGCCTCGCGGCCTGCGGCTTCAACTACGGCGGGGCCTACAGCACCGTCGTGGGGCCCAACCGCGACTACTTCCTCAAAGGTTTGTCGCACGACGCGGGGCTAAATAGGTGGTGGTTACCTTGATTAAAGGATGGGGGGGGGGGATGCATTAAAAATCTCAGACGGGGGGCATGACGGTCAATTTTAAACAAACTCAAAGCAAGTGTTGTGTCCGGAACTGCCCAACAGCCGACTCGAGCTCTCAACTCGTGTGCGTATGAGGAAAGGCCACGACACCCATGGCTTAGTTGCTCCAGAGTTGTGTCCAGGTTAACCTGGCCATGTGCGCTGCCTGAGCGGAGTCAAGTAGATGCACGCACGCACGCACGCGTCAACACTTTTACGGTTATGGCCTTTCACCGAACTGGCGAACTTTGAAGAAAAACTGCCGCTGCTGTTAGACATTGTACCGTCATTTTTTTTACTTGATGATGAAAGTTCAGAATGGGGGCCGAGTTTTCATGGGGGAGGGGGTGTGTGGGTGGAGGGGGGGGCTCTGTCCCCTTCAGCCCTCCCGACGCTACGGGCCGAGTCACGTGCAGAGGCAGCAGCAGGATGGGTTCTTTTTTGTTTGTTAACCCGTTCTTTTTTTCTCTTCTATTTTTTAAGGAAGTTTGGAAACGCTTCCTTAAAAAGCCACTCAACCGAGATTATCCCTTCCTTCAGTTCCCCGTGGTCTCTGGGAGAACTTACCTAACATCGACTTGTGCAACTCATCGCTTACCTATATCGTTCCCTCCTGATAAACAAAGCGGAACGTGCCCTGTGTCGTGCAGTTGCCCTCTGCCTATGGGGGCAATGCTGTGCGTGGCTTTAGTTGATTGACTCAAATCAAACTGCCAAGAGCTTACCCCAAGGCCACCTGCATTATGTTCGTTTTACCACTTGAACGCAATTCACACATGGGTTCGTTGTTTGTACGCTGCAATAAATAAATAAAATATGTTCAGCCAAATTATCGTTCGCACACTGTAACGCAACCATCGTCCTCATCATCATCATCACTGTAACCCCATTATCAAGTAATAAATATCATCACAACTTGGTAGTTCTTCCATCATCACCATAATTTTACAACAACTCCGTTATTGTCATCGTCACCACCACCGTAATCACCAACGCCCTTCGTCGCGATGCCCCCGTATCGAACCTGGTACCGCTAACACGACATCCACGGGGTCACCAGCGCGCCACCACCCCCCCCCAAACTCGCCCCCCCGTGGAGGCTCCGCTAACGCCGCGACGCGTCCCTGTGGTTCGCACGAGCGCAGTGCGAGAGTGGAACCGCAGCGCCGGCGCCGCGGCCGTCCCCGTGCCGCGCGTCTCCCACCACGGCGGCTACAGTGCCGGGCGCAGCATCTACAGCCGCTACCACGACAGCAAGGGCAAGGCCCTGGTGGAGCGTTGCGGCGCCGCCGGCGGCCTGTATGAGCTGGTGCCGGGCATCGATATGGCGTCCCTCAACCACGGCATGACGCTCAAGCACGCGACCAGTGAGTGGCGCCCGCGCCGTCAAGTGGCGCCACCATCGTTGTCGTAATCGCGGTAGTAGCAGGGGTAGCGGTAGTAGTGGTGGTGGGTTTAGCCGGGCGGTAATGCCGGACGCCTCTTAATCCGGCACTGTGCAGGCGACAGGTTGGTGGATCACCGCGCAAACGCCGTGAAACCTCCCTTCCTTTCCCGTAGGCATCGAGGAGGTGCCATTGCCCTGGCTCGATCGGGAGAATTCGGTACGGCAAAATGTAAACTCCACCCGTTACATCTCTATGGGATAGTCCTTCGTGGCTTCGTCATCAGCAGGATTGTCATGATCAGCAGCAGCGCTGATGTCAGCAGCTTTATCATTATCAACATAGCTTCAGAAATATTGTCACCAGCCTCACTGTTATTCGCATCATTATGATGACCAACATCATCAGCATTATCAACAGCATCACCATCACAAGTACCATCCTCCATCGCCATCAACCCCTCATGTGTGTGAAGCCCACTCACGGATTTTCCCCCTGATCTTCCTTTGCGCATTTGGCCACACACGCGCGCGCCGTTTGCGGCTGAGCTCCGCACTTTATTTGAACGGCGCCGAACAGCGCATCATCATCCTCTTTCTCCCGTCGACGAAACACTGCCGGTGTTGCCCCTCCGCGCTCTTGGCATCGAATCCAAGACCGCGACAGCCTGAGCTTGCATTCGTGTCCTTGAAAAGCATTACGCATTTTTTCCCCCAAATTAATTTTACCCGCCAGAGGGAGCGTAAACAACGCTCACGTGACGCCGCCGGACAGGAGGACGCTGGTCCTCTCGGCGACCTTCGTGTAAGAAAGTCGTCGCGGAGCGGCTCCCGTTCATCCGATCGCTCGACGTCCAGTCGAGCGATCGGACCGCTCCCCGCCCTTGCTCCCCCACCAAGACCGAGCAATCTCGCTCGTCTTTTCCTTTCATTCTTTCCTCCCATGGCTTTCCCAACCACACACCCCCCCCGCCCGCCATAGGGGTGCATTGTGGGTAGCATTCCCTGCCCTGCTCGCGTTCCGCCCTCGCCCACGGTTTCCGACGCCGCCGTTCCGCACGTCAACACGGCGGAGCGAAATGATTAGGAAACTCCGAGCGGGCAGCGCGAAACCTCGGACATCACGCCGATTCGTGCCGGTGCAACGCGAAAACACGCCGGAGATGGATCTGGACCACGATAACCTCCGCGGTGGCGTCCGCCATGTGTTGCAAAGGCGAAAGGTGGCGGCCTCCGAGAGCAGGCTCAGCTGAAGCGAGAAGTGATGAATTAATGGGCGAGCACACCTCGAAGAAATGACGCTCAGGCTGAATGGCTCAAAGTGCGCGGCCCACAGCTACCTTTGGAGCCAGATGTTTGTCCGATGCTTAGTTAATAGGTTACATATCCACCCCGTGTGTCTGTTCTTTTAGGGTCAGGTCACACCACCAGCATTCCAATGACTGATAACGATTAAAAGAGATAAAAAAAAACAGGGTTAAATTAGTTTTTGTTAGTTGTTGATGTTTAAAGGACTTTGTAATCTCGATCCAGAAGGCCCGCGTGTGTGGGGCAAGTGCTGGCAGGCACGCTCCGCTGTCTCTGTTGAGACAACGGCGCGCACTCCACGGAACGCCGCAGAGACAACGCGTTAGGAACGGCAGAGGCTAAAAACGCAGCCTTGGTCGCAGCACTGGGGAGCACGCCGTGCACACGGCCGCGCCAGATCGGTACGGGCAGAGCAGCTTTACAAGGCTACAAATGTGTCCTTTAAAACAAACCCTGATACTATTCTTGGCAGGGGTGTTAGATCGTGATCGTACATCATCGGAGGTTGGGGGGGTTTACTTTTTCTCCCCACACATCCTTTACAAGTTTAACCTCTACTTTATAGCGTTCTCCTTGAATTGCAATGCGGTGCCGTTGTTGAAAGTGTAAGTTGCTGTAAGCGGAGGACATTGAATGGGGGTGAGGGGAAGTTCACTAAATTAATTTATTTTTAATCTTTAGAGAAGTCCGTAGAGAGTTGAGGAAGCATTAGAAAAAAGAAAACTGTTACTTGAATGTTTCAGTATTTAATGATTTAATTCCAATTTTAACATAATTTTTATTATAATGTTATATAAAGGCTCATTTGGCATAGAGTATTACATAAACTTGGCTGCACTTTAAGAGATCTCACAAGGATGCATTGCAAATTCCGGGTCAATTCACAGGAGACACGGCTCTTCGTTTTAATCACAATTGCCGAGTACAGGCCCAAAACGCCATGCAGCCAGCAACAAACGGCACTACTGCAGGTGTAGTAGATTAATACGGTGCATCGTCTGTCGAGAGTTCAAAGATGAACAATGGCTTCCTCCTTGTGGCCATGTGATGAAAGGAACACAGTTTCCAAAACAAATAATAATAATGATTCACAAACCTTGATCAATAGACTGCTGGTTGAAGACCCAAAAATAACCACGGCGAAAAAAGGTTATGGTTGCGGTCCCCCAAAATGACTTGTTCACGCGACTGCTGGTGTGAAGAGTGAACACTAGAGAACGCCTCTCGATGTGTATCTTGGCCTACTCCTCCATGCTAGCTAGGGTGCAACAACGATTAAAATACCACGACGCTGTCCCCCCTGTCCCCCCCCCCCTCCACCCCCCACCACCAGTGCCCACCTACACGGCCATCCAGTCTCCGTACTCCATGTTCCCGAGCATCGCCATGGCGACCAAGATGGCGGACGAGGAGAAGTCGGCGTCTCCGGAGCAGGGCGGCGTCATGGGGCGACACGACCTGAGCGGCGCGAGCCAGGGGGGCATGGTGCCCGCCCTGCCACCCACGCCCCCCCTCACTTACCAGGTGCGTGCCACCGCACCGCAAACCCGTCCCCGCGGCCGCCGCTGTTGGGAGTCGCGGCGAGGCGAGCAATCGGGATCGGGCTGCGATGCTCGCCGTGCGAACCAACCGCAGCCGGCCCTCACCACCCAACGATACCAACCAACCCAGATCTTATCCCAGACTGTGATCGTAGTGGCCAACCGGGAGCCTGTCACTAACTCTTACTAAACTAGCCAAGCGGATTATATCCCTATGATTGTGAAAGTTGACCGGGGCCTCGCCCTAATCACAACCGTAGTAGCCAACCAGAGCCGAGCCCTAACCCTAACCCTAACCATACTAAACTAACCAGATTTTACCCCAAAGTCTAACCAGGCTAGTTATCCTGATCCTACCTCTACAGCTAACCACACTACCACCCCCCCCACCTCCATCTGTGGTGCATTGCCTGGCCCCCTTTTCAGTTTTTGTTCTCTTTTCAATCTTTGTGTTAATGGAAAAACAAATTCCAAAAAGCCTCAAGGGTGTCGCAAGCAACAAGGAAGCTCGGTTAGGTTACGTGGGTGGGGTTCGGGCCCACGTCTGATTCGCTCGTGCGGTCAGCGTTCATGCTATGGTTGGCGTCTGGTCGGCAGGTTCAGTTAGGGTTAAGGGTTGCGCTTGGAATATTATTTGGTGAGCTCGCGTGTTACAGTGTCTAGCAGTGCCCTTTCCCCATGTAACCATGTGTGGCCTTGTCAGTCGTGAGACATGTATCACTCGCCATTGTATACGATTGGTTGACCTGATACATACACACCGAGACAAAGATTAAAGGCCCCCCGTATAGCCTTTAACAGCGAGCGGCTATTAAGGCAGGCACCACCCCCGGCCGCCATTGTCTCCCCAATGCTGATGTTTACACACTGCACCAGGTACGCACTTAAGGCTGAGTCGACCTAGGGGAGGCCCAGGAATGGTTCAAATATTCATTACCGATGTTGCTGTGAGTAGGAATCGAGCTCCCGTCGCTGGGTTCGTAGCGCAGTGCGTTAACCGCTGCGCCACCGCTCCCTAAATACACATACGTATCAAGCCCGTGCGGAACACGCCATTTATTGTTGTCCCCGTACTTCAAACACGTTGTTTGACGCCACAAATATGTTCGGCAGTTCCCAGCCTTCCTTCAAAAAAAGAAAAAGCTATTGACACGGAGACAGACAATAAAGAGCGCACAGTTGGGTTAAAATAAAGTCTAAACTTCACCCCACATAAACATTAGCGATTGAGCACGAGTGGTGGTAAGATCAGCTCACGTGAGTCAGGTCTCGTGCTTGGTTCAACTTTGCGCATTTGTGTCATGCGCCCTGTGCCAGCTGAGTGCACACAGGTAGCAACGAGGCCGAATTCGCCACTCGCCAGCGCAATTCATGAGCGTCGTCTGCTCTCCTTGGCGTTGGATCGGTGGCGCAGCGGTTCACCCACTGCTCTCAAAAGCCGACGAGCCGGGTTCCATGCCCTAGCCACGGCTAACATCGGTGGCGATTGATATTTAAACCGCACCTGGTTCCTTCCTGTCCCTTTCACTTAACCTCATTGACTACCGAGCTGCAAATATAATTCCGATCTGTGTTCTCGAAGTACACATTTGCAAACATGTTCGCCCGCAGGCACATTGGATCCCTAGACAGGTATTATCCAGCAACATTTGTTTAAGCAAGCAAACTCTGAGCTGGTTTTAACTGTTCAGGCTTGTTAAATAAATACTGCGAGGTTTAGTTGTGGTGAGGCATGGTCAAACAACCCCCGCAGGTGACACGGTTGTTTGGGGAGGCCTTCAATTGAGCAGTGGATTGACAAGAGACCCGTAAATTATTTGCATTTCTCAAGAGAGGCGACTGCTCCGTTGGATCTGTCCCTGACTGCTGCCCATGAGAAGGGAATTATTTGGACAAAACACGCGGCCTCGTACACATTTGCTTCTTGGGTGTGTTTTTTGGCTTTTGTTGCATTGTTTGGTTCATCCCAATGCCAAGAAGATGTTTGCTTTCGTAAGCCCTTTTCAAATTCGGGAGTAAATGGCTGGCAGCTTATTAACTTTGCGAGTAGAGAAGAGTTGGATGACCAGCCACGCGAGATAATTTGTCCACCCCCTTCAAAAGGTTACTCATTGAAATGCAGCGTAATCACCATCACCGCGAGGTGCCTAATGTCCCATCCAAATGCTGAGCCCAACAGAGGCCCTGAGTGGGTGGTGACCTGCAAATTGATTCCGTGAGCCTTTCGGGCGGAACCCGCATCTCGGTGGCAGCAAGCCGCATTGTTTGGCCCTGTGGATCATTGGTTCGCGTCGTCGCGCACCTGGTTAGCGCTTGTTGAAAGGGTAAACGTTTCAAAGGGTATTATAACGTATCAATTCATAGCAATAAACATTAAAGTTAGGTGTCGAGTTGGGGGAGGGAGTCGCGTCGTCACGAGGATGACCGATTGTGGCTGCACGAGTTGGGCCCTTGCGCTTGTGCTGGGGGGTGGCCGCGCTTGTAATTTGCCCCGAATGAGCGGGCGGCCACGGGTGGTGACACGTGCCGGGCGCGCGAGCGCAGTGCCGCCGTGCGTTGATTCGGCTCTTTTATATGTTTTTTAACACACCGACAAGGCAGGGGGGGGGGGGGGGCGTGCGTTCGTGTGAAGCTGCGTTAATAATAAAACAACAAAAAACACACTTGTAAACTCTTCAAAGGATTCAGCGGTGGTGACTTTAGCCTTGACTTACATCGTTTTTTATGTTTGGCAGTTTTCTTTAAAATAAAAAGGAATCACGGTTTTTTTCCAGTGACAGCCCCCCCCCCCTCCTCCACGCCTTTCAGCTGGCTAATCAGTAAATACAATAACTATTTTGTTGTTGTGAGTTAAGATCACTGTCCATTATTTAACCAGCTTTGGGCGTGGTGTAGCTTTGGTGTTGTGCTATGTTGAGCAAAGTACACATGGGTAATTGGTCCTCGAAGAGAAAGAGTTTAAATAGTATATAGCATTTGTGATTGTTGGTAAGGTTGGAAGCCACTGGGGCTTATGGCAGGTGAGAGTATGAAGCCGGCATTGATTATAACAGCCTGGCAAGTCGATTGGGTCTCAGCCCGATTACAAATGACTCCACACAAAAAAATAATTTTTGGTACTTTACATCTCTGAGAATGAAAGATTTTGAGTTTGATTGGCAAACTGTCTCACTGGCAGCTGCCCAGCACAGCGCGTGCAACAAAACCTCTCCTATGCACCAATGCACATTGCTAGCCGTGCGTATATGTCACGGTGTTTGTAGGTGCCAGTCCTGAACCAGTTCTGGGCCTCCCCTAGGTCGACTCAGCCTCAAATTAGTTACTGGTGCGGTGTGTAAACATCACCGCTGGGCAGACAAAGGCGGTCGGGCGTGGTGCTGGCCACCTACCCCGTCGTGTACCGATCCGGCTTTCATAGGTGCTCGCTAACAGCACTTGCCACAGCAGTCTGTTAAGGCTACACAGGGGATCTTTGTCCTTGTAGGTCTGTCACATACATAGTTACCTCTTTTCCACTGTACAAGCGAGCCGTGCTGGGGCCATTCTGAGCCAGCCAGGCGTGTCTCCGGGGGCGCCAGGTTGTTTTTCCACTGCCGAAGCCGAGCCAGCCTGCTAACGTCGCACGCAACGAATTCGTGTAAACACGTGTAGTTGACGCAGCATCGCCGTGTGTGAGTTGTGGTGATGTCGCGCACAACTAACGCATCATTAGCCCCGCCAGTGCCCCTGCCCGGGCATCTTGCGAGGTCAAAGCGCATCGCGGTTTGGTTCCAGCTTGGCTCGGCAAACGGCCAGCAGGAAAGCCACCTGCACCGCGACGGCGCTGCACCGGCTTGGCTTCAATTAGACGCTGACTTTGATGTTCACGTCACGTTTCCCCACAGGGACGCCCGCTGGGACCGCTCTACACCTTGACCCCCGGGGTGACCCCTGTGGCCACGGCGGCTGGCGGCTACTACGCGACGGCCACGGGCTACATGCCGATGACCGCTGGTCCCGGCTGGCATGCAGAGCATGGCGGGGATGCCCAAGGGGACGATGGCGGTGCCGTACGGGGCGTACGCTGGATACCACATGGCTCAGGCCATCCCCATGCATGGACAGGAGGTGTACCAGCAGCTCTGAGCCAGCGTAGAGCAAAGTGCAATCCCTGCAGCGTCAACACATCCGCCCCCAGTACAGCCAATGGGCAGATTCCAGCAGATACGCACACACGCGCACCCACGCGCACACACACATGCACCCACACTCTGACCATATCTCACCGGACCGTGCGTGTTAGCACGTGCGCGCGTACCAACATACGCGCCGTGCGTACGCATGGCGAACATACGAATGCGTGCACCACGGTTGCACATGAATACACGCGCAAGCATGAGGGTTTCCACCTCTTGAGCTAGAAAACACCCAAAGCATCTTCAAGGGAAGAAGAATGAGAATATCTCGAAGAGGGATTGCAGTCGCTTGAGTGGTGGTGTGCTATTGCGCATCTGATGAAAAGTCGGGACTTGTGATGTCGAGAGAAAGACTCTAATCATTTTTTCCAAAACGGCGATTTCAACGAAGAGGCAACCTGGGATAAACCAGTGCAGGTGGTAACCCTGGCACGTGCGCGCAAGACACACACAGACACGACGGCATTCCCACACTCGCACAGCTCAAACAGACACACGCGTGTAGCGACCGAACCACCAAGCAGCATTTGCATATATACATATTTTTTTGACAAGACCATTCCAAACTTGATTGCCGCTTCCGCGGCGCGTCCGGGGGGGGGGGCCCACATTCGCCGAGAACGGAAGCCGCGTCGGCCGAGCCTCCCCAACCTGGCCGCACACTCGCACAGGCGGCTTCCTCGACACCGCGCCGGAGCCGATCGGCACGGGGAGGCAAGTGGGGGGGGTCCGCGCCGGCTCGGGGGGGCGCCAACCCTCTGACGTGCGCGCAGGAACTCGCCACCGAGAGGAGGAAACACCGCTGCAACGTGGGCCACCCAAAACATAATTTTTGTGCTGCAAGAACAAAACTTCATAGGGTTTTATTACTACTGTAGTCATGCAGTATTAGAGATTAAGGAAATCGGGGGGTATTTGTGAAGTTGTTTTTGTTGTTGTTTTCCCTTGTCTCGAGTGACGAGCTTTGTCTCTCGAGTGACGAAGAAGATTTGGGCTCCGGCTAAAGCAGTAGAAATCGGGCGAGAGACTTCTCAAATTTGTCGCGACGGACTCTTGCGATCGGTGACGACCGGGAATGGCGAGCATCGTTGAGGATCTTTCTCAGGGGCGACGTGAACATCAGCAGCCCCCCTTTCCCCAACCCCTTGTCTCAGGACCCCCCCCCCCTCCACCACCCCCCCCCTCACCATCTCGGTGCATCATCGCGCTCGCCGTCCCCATATCGGGAGTGGGGGGGGGGGTCTCCTGTGTGCATTTTAACGGTAGCCACGGCACGAGAGGGTTGTTGTTGTTGTTGTTTAAACCAAACAATATCTCGTTGTCTGCACGTTTGTTCCGAGTCTGTGCGTGAATCTTTGTAGGAAATGTTCAAGCGCCACTGTAGTGCAGTGGGCTGCGGCGTTTATGGACGAAAGCGGAAAAAAGCAGAGTTTGATCATTTCCTCTTCTTCCAGAAATTCAGGTTCTTCCATTTATTTTATTTGGGGGGGGGGGGCGTGCCGACGTACAAACTGTGCTTTGTCTCACTGACGACGACGTCGAGGACTGTACGTGGAGTCACGGAGTGCCCTGAGGAGGAAGCCTTCAGACTCAGAAGCAGGAGGACAGTCGGCGAGCTTGTCTGCCCCCTTGGGGCGTGTAACTACTATACGGAAGAGAGAGAGAGATAAAATTAATATATGTAAAGAAGGGCAAGGGGTCGAGTTATAGTGACGTGAAAAGAAACACTTTAAACTCGTGCACGTGGAAGAGAGTCGGGGAGCCAGTGAAGGAGAGAGGGCATATTGCAGAACCATTTAAAGTTGCAGCGCATCTACAAAGTAGATACTTTTGTAAACGCTTTATATATGTGTGTGTGTGTAAAAACAAACAAACAAAATGTACCAACCTCCGGCGTCGTTTTATCTATAACATTTTTGTTTAAATCTCGCGAGAGTTCGAGCGGGGAGAACGACGAATGATCCATCTCCTATGTCCACCACTCGAGCGAGCGAGCGAGTGTTATTATTGTTATTATTATTATTGTTATTCCTCGTCCTCCTAGTCGCCGTTGTGTTTGTGACGCCCCCCACCCCATCCCTGCTTAGCTCTATATTTAATAGCATGCACTTACCTCACCAAACCCCGCACACACCCTCACCCCCCTCCTTCCATTAGTAATGCACAGCCGAGCACAAATAACGTTAGAGTTAGCTTTCTTTTTTTGCACACAATTTTGTTTGAAGTTTCATTCATTTTCTGTTGGTAGCTTTTAAGGGGCTCGTGAGTGTGTTTTTTTGTAATGTTTAGTTCCCCCTACCTCTTTAACCCCTCACCTAAAAATGTTTCCGTGCAACCGTCGTCATTGTCACACCGGTGGCCGCTCAGTGACTTACGCCGGGGTGAGCTGGTGGGGCTGGGAGGGTGGTGGGGCTGGGAGGGTGGTGGGGCTGGGATCACTGCGCCTGGCACGCATTGTGTAAGCCACAACCGTGCCTTTACGCGCTGGGCGGGGTGTCGCGTGCCCTGCGGAGTGATGTGAAGCCACAATGGGGAAAAAAAACCTCGACAGATGATTCGCGGTGGGTGGGAGCAGTGCCGGATGAAGCTAGTGCGGGGCCTGTAGCATATGATGTTATAAAGGGGCCTTAAAAATATATATAATATTAAAACACACATTTTTTACTTGCATAGTAAAGTAATTGTATTGTTTTTATTTGCTATACAGCCAGATAATACGACAAATCGCTAACCTTAAACACCCAGTCGTTCATAAAAGATGAAGGCGGTATAGTACTATAGTAATAGAGCAAGTGCAGAATCACTGAACCGGAATTGATAGCTTGAAAGCATTTAGCGCGGGGCCCTTGAAAGTGCGGGGCCCGTAGCTACTACATATGTGGCCACTTTTGCTTCTAGGATAATCCGGCACTGGGTGGGAATCGACGTAAGATGCGAACTATCGCTACGTTCACCTCGTTCTACGCCCGCGAAGGTGCGGAAACGCGTTGCCAAAAGCTGTGAATGTGCGCGCCCGCGGGCACCTGGGCGGGAGGAGCCGCCTTGCCCGGGCTGCCACCCGCCAGTGCGTTCGGTGCAATCGGCAAATACAAAAATTCCCACGCCCACAAGGGGAACAAGAACGTGCGCGCACAGGGAACCCGCGGCTACCGCTGTTTTTGAAACGGTGGCTGCGATCTGCACCACCGTCACGCTGTGCGATGTGGTTTGCTCCCTGTGCGATGTGGTTTGCTCCCTGTGCGATGTGGTTTGCTCCCTGTGCGATGTGGTTTGCTCCCTGTGCGATGTGGTTTGCTCCCTGTGCGATGTGGTTTGCTCCCTGTGCGATGTGGTTTGCTCCCTGTGCGATGTGGTTTGCTCCCTGTGCGATGTGGTTTGCTCTCTGTGCGATGTGGTTTGCTCCCTGTGCGATGTGGTTTGCTCTCTGTGCGATGTGGTTTGCTCCCTGTGCGATGTGGTTTGCTCCCTGTGCGATGTGGTTTGCTCCCTGTGCGATGTGGTTTGCTCTCTGTGCGATGTGGTTTGCTCCCTGTGCGATGTGGTTTGCTCCCTGTGCGATGTGGTTTGCTCCCTGTGCGATGTGGTTTGCTCCCTGTGCGATGTGGTTTGCTCCCTGTGCGATGTGGTTTGCTCTCTGTGCGACGTGGTTTGCTCCCTGTGCGATGTGGTTTGCTCTCTGTGCGATGTGGTTTGCTCTCTGTGCGATGTGGTTTGCTCCCTGTGCGATGTGGTTTGCTCCCTCTGCAAGGGTCTTGGGGAGGGAGAGAGAATACGAGAGGTGCCTTGTCGGGAGATAAAAAAAAACCTTGTGCCACACACACAAACAAATATTCCCCGTGTGGCCTTAATAGACTGTGGGGGCAAGTGCTGTTAGCGAGCACCTATGAAGGCCGGAACGGTACACGAGGGGGTGGGTGGCCAGCACCACGCCCGACCGCCTTTGTCTCCCCAGTGGCGATGTTTACACGTCGCACCAGGTACTCATTTGAGGCTGAGTCGACCTAGGGGGGGGAGGCCCAGGACCGGTTCAGATAATCGTCACTGGCGTTGGCCGTGAGCGGCAATCGAACCTGGATCGCCGGGTTCATTGCGAGGTGCGCTAACCGCTACACTCTCGCTCCCCACTATACACACACACAGAGACACTAGAGACACACACAGAGACGCACACAGAGACACACACAGAGACACACACAGTGTCTGAAGACCAGCTGTGAATGTCGCGCGTGCGACGGACGCACAGACTCCCCCCCCCCCCACCCCTGCAGGAGCTCCACAGCTCGGCGGCATCTGTGCTGGGGCTGTTGCGCACGCACGCGCACGCACACGCACGCACACACACTATGTACTGTATGTATATGTAACCCACGCCAAAGCGAAGGGCTGTGCCTGCTGCGTTCGTGCTGTAACCAAAGTAAGGGACACTTGTGAGTAATCGTGCGAGCAATAATTGTCGCGATGTTGGTGGTAGAACGTCCGTTCGCTGTGAATCGGCCGGCGGTGTCAGCGACTTGACTTGCCCAGCTTGCCGGGGAACTCTCTTGAGGGCTTGTTTGCGGCAAGTCCACACTACTGGGGTCGGCGGTTCGCGTGCGTTTGGGGTAAAGAGATGTTGAACCCCTGGCCAGCGTAGAAGAGTAGGCCAAAATATATCCTCGGGAGGTGCTTTCTAGAGATCCCTCCAGTGGAGATCCCGTTCGGTCAGCAATTGGCACCAGCGAGGAATTGCAGCGCTACGCCTTTACCACACTCTTATTATTGCTGAGAAGGCCGAGCTGTCTTTCTCGGGCTCACCCCATCAGGACACATCTTAGCCCCTACAAACCCCAGTTCCTTCCAAGGGTAAAGGAATAATGTACGCAGATCTCACCGTTCATACGTCATGTTGGACGTGTGCTCGTTCAGAAACACAAAGACGCCAACGTTTTACGCGCGTGGAACTTCCCTGCAGCTCTCACGTTTACGACGTATATTACACGTAGTTTTAATCGAGACAACAAGAGAGAGAACACGTGAAATGTTTATTTTTTAATCTACCCGTAAAAGTTGTTGTCCATCGAGGCGAGATGTTGCCTTTTTTTGCGCGAGTTTAGGAAACACACAAACACACAAATGTTTTGTGGAAGTACCGCAGGGGCGGCTTGGGTGAGCAGGACAAGTGGGGAAGTATGATCGTTGTGTTTTAGGGCTCTGCTTGGGAACAAAAAGATACGCGCGTTGGCACCGCGGCCTTGTTTGCCACAACAGATGCGATTTAACTTATGGCGTGCGTTAAAAACAACGTTTTCTCACTTTTGAATAATGTTTAAACTAAAAAAAATTGTAAACAACAAAAACATTTTAAAAAAAATAAGTCCTCTCGTTTTATCTTTCTTACATTCTGCTCAGTTTTTTTTAGTAGCCTAGTACAGCGTAGAACATTACCAGACGCTAGTTTACCTTTGTTATGTTATTGTTCCATCTTTATTTTATTTCAAGAGTTTATTGATGTTCAGTTTCAGCATCGCTGTGTCGTTTGCTTTGTTTAGTGAAGTTTGCTTGTATGTACAACTTGAAAGCAGCATATCCTTATGTTCTATATTGCTTACATACCGAACATCTTAATATAAAAGAAAGAATTGTTTTTGAACTCTATTGTATTTTATTTCTGTTGTAATCGTTACGTGTTTCACCGTTAGGACTCCTAACTTGTAAAACATACGGTTATAAGAAGGTTACGTTAAAATGCCACATTTTTAAAGGTGTGTGTTCTCGTGTGTCCGTTTGGAATAAAGCAGTTTGCGACATCACAATGTCTATGGAATGATCGCATTGTGTGGCATTTAATTTGTGCAAGTGTATCAAAAACACACCCGCGCACAAATCCAACGCACAATCTTCCAATGTGTGGTATGAGAACATGATGCAAACCCGTAAGCTTAGACTATAGACGTATGGGGGCCATCTAAATTGCACGTCCAGTGTATTAACCATTACAACCATGGCAGCATCCGTGAGTTAGTATTATTTAAAAAAACTGCGCGTGCATTCATATCGTTATAGGCTGATGATTATAATCATCACATGACCGGATCGTGGGAGGTTGGCCGCAGCGGTGGCTTGGGGGGGGGGGGCATTTTCATCCGGCAGCGGATAAACCACGGCCGACGATGATCTCGCACTGGAGAAGATGCAGCCGAGGCAGCCTCTTCGCTGGGGGCTGCACGCACAGCAAGTATTGTCGCGGGTTTCATTAACAAAGAGGCACTCGAGTGGGAATTTGGCCCGCGTTGGAATGCGTGTCCTCCACAGGTCTCCGTGCCCAATCACCTCGCCTGGCCCCGAGCCGAGCGCCGGGTCCAGGTGCCCTTGGGCAGAAAAATAAAACAAAGCACCTGCAGATACACGCTGCGATTAGCGTTTAGTGTTCACAAATGACCCCTATATGTATACGGTACACGTGCATTGATAAACACGTGCGCAAAAAGAACCTCGTGTAACGCGCGTGTGTGTGTGTCATCATCGTCACCATCAGCCACGGCCTATTCACTGGATGAAGGCTTCCCCACACTGATGTCATCCTTCGCGAGCTTGCACGCCACGATCAATTACGCACTCCTGCGCGTGAACTGATCTTATCGCTCCATCGTTATCGCTCCATCTTCGCAGCGGAGGGCCTCTTGCCTTCGAGTGACATTGTTACCGGTCTCCCGTCGAGTGACGTGCTCCACCCAAGCTCACTCGCTCCCCTTCACAGTCAAGATGTTGACGTCTCTCATTGGCATTCGTTCCTCTTTCTGTTTCTCAGTGGCACACCTGTGGACTTTTCAGCTTTTGTACATTTTATGAGTCAGTGTCCTTGTGTTGTATCCACACATCGTTTCTCGAAATATGCACACTGCATGTGCGTATGTATGTTGAACTTCGTTTAGCGCGTAGGCTTTCGCGACCAATATTATCCATAGGAGAGGAGTTTGGGTTAGATCGCATAACTATGAAGGTGTCGTTAAACCCGCCGCCACCCTGCACATCCAATGAGTAAGGTTTGTCACGTCAATTGGCATGTTTTGTTTACGTGACAAACCTTACTAATTAGCCGTGTCGGGTGGTGGCGGGTTTCACAACACATTTATATTTACGAGATCTAACCCAAAAAACTCTTCTTTCGCACCGTACGTAGCCAACCGCGCTAATCAGAGGTGCGGGGAAAAGACACGGACTGAAAACGTTCTACTCGAGGCAAAGTGTCATGTTGCTTTTCATTGTCAAATTCAGTTTCCCAAAACTACTCCATCCTGCTATTGTTAACCTCTTTTTGTTGTTGAAATCCTCGTTGATCCCGATCAGTCTTCGATATTTTCTCTCGGTATATACACACATGTAAATATACTGTTGTGCATTTCAGATGCGTCGTTCCATAATTTGAATTCGCAGGTATGCGTATGCAGTGCTTTGAGTGTACAAAGGGATTTTTTTTCAACGGTTTTGACAGTGGGTTGACAAAGCACAGGTCCATGTCGCGATGTAACAAGTACACGTAGGCCGATGTTATTGCTCTCTTACGTTGCCAGTTTATGACTGCACTCCATACTACAGTGTGAATAGCAGAGGTGTGGACTCGAGTCATGTGACTTGGACTCGAGTCAGACTCGAGTCATGAATTTGATGACTTGAGACTCGACTTGGACTTGCATAACAATGACTTTGTCCCACCTCTGAGGTGTGGACTCGAGTCATGTGACTTGGACTCGAGTCAGACTCGAGTCATGAATTTGATGACTTGAGACTCGACTTGGACTTGCATAACAATGACTTTGTCCCACCTCTGGTGAATAGTACACACACATCTAATAAGTAATACAAGCTGACAGCCCTTTGTCAAGCCACTGTTGGGTGAATGTCTCTCCGCACTTAGTTATAAACGCAGGGTTTGTTTTCACCATACATTAACGAGATAAATCAGTTGCCTCTGCACCCCCTTCCCAACTTCATCTCTCCACGTAACACGTGTCCTTCTTTCCTACACCATACGAAGCGCCACGTGGCCTTCTGCTAGTGGATTGTTCAGCGGCATGGGATGAGACTGAATGTCGAATTCGGTCTCGAGTTTGTGTTAAACCAATGCTGCTGAACATCACACTCCCAGAAGGCCCGTGTGGCTTATGGGATGTGTCAAAAAATGACTTCACAAGGATGGTGAGTGTAGTGTGGGCTTGTTATGGGGATGAGGTGAGAAGGAGGCAGCTTACATTGGTGGCTGCCAAGGATTGGGTCAGATATCGCTCGTCACTGACGTTAGCAGGAATAAGGAATCAACATCAAATTTCGGGTTACGTTAACCACTACGCTGCCACTCCCACCCACATGCAAATCTAGCTTCGGTATTTTTTTTTTCTAATCTAAAACTCATTGGTGGGTTTTCTGTGACAAGTTCTGGAGACTAAGCCTTTCTCGTGCACACAGTTTACGAGGGTATTAATGGTACGCCCGTGCGGAGCTCATGAAGCGTCGCGCGAAGGTGTGGCGTTCCCGTGACAACGACCATCTTGTGCCCACTTAAAGGCCATCCACACAAAATGTTTCGATAAAGGGGCCACTCTCGTGCTCGGCCCCAAGTGGGCGACTTAGAATCCCCGGGTGGAGTTCGACTCGGCACATTATCCTCCTGAGGTCGGTAAAATAACTATTACTTCGTGAGACGTCAACAGCGTTTGTTCTCCATACAGGCACGGGGCCCTCAGAATAATAATCTGGATTTTGCACCGTCGGCTCATTGGCTACTCGAGATTGTGATGTCACAATGGCCAAGGCCGTTGATGTCACATATAGCCAACGTTAACCTCCTTCCAGATCCAAAACCTCAAGTTTCAAGTTTTCAAGTTTCATTTATTTGGTTTAGCCCTGTGAGCCATGCGGCTCTTAAGTCGGGTGCAACCGCAACAAACAAAATATGAACGGAGAACATCTTAAAGTGACGACGCGCAACAGAAACATCCTGGATCAACCAGCAAATCTTCCAAGAAAAAAACCGATGTGTGCAAAAATCCCAGTGTGATGCAAGTCAATCAATAACAACAATAATACAATTTAGATTACCCATGTTTTCGAAATCACCAAAAGAACGCTATAAAAACAATGTAACAACGGTAATCATAAGAACTGTGATTTAAATGTAACAATAAACGACATATATAACATGTACGACCAAACTTTGCAGCCATAGCTGGCAGCATGAACCTGCCACACAGGAGACACGAAACCTCCAATATCTACGCCTAACAGTGTCCCACTGTTTCGCCTTCGTGGCCATGACTCACTGAGACCATTTCAATACATGTCTCAAGCTACTGGTCTTCCTCCATCCTGTACGCATGTTCCACCCAGAACAATGTTTTCGCTTCGTCATGGCGGCAACATTTACCTGCCTTGTTCTCTTCCTGGACCTCTGCATTGAAATTCCGAGCAACCGGTTTCAAGACACCTTTGTCCAAATGCCAACGAATTTTCCCCAAATTTGCCGAGAGCCCGGCTTGCCGAGCCGTAGGGTAATAATCCATACAGCACTCCTCCTTCAAATCCTTTTTTTCTTTACACTCAGACTCGCCTCTCTCTTCTTTCCCATTAGAATTCTTATTAAAAGAATGTAAATGATCGTATTGCCTATTGTACAGCTGGTCGGTGGGAGTATGACTATCCGGTATGGAACTACTGTGAGAAATGGCAGTGGATTGCGGAAGGCCATCGTCCAGCAGTGAAGTGACACAATTGACGGTGATGAAGTCATGCTGCTGTAAGTAAGCCGGTTCCATCTGGTACATGTCGGGAACCTGATACATTTATATTGTGTACTTTGCTTCTATCATGTTTGCGAACACACCTTTAAAAAAACACACCTTTAAAAAAAACACACACACTCTACCGTTACGCAATTGAATTTGCTTAAAAGTTTCCCTTCCGGGCAAGTTCTGGCCACGTTACGAAAAGAACATAATGAAATAAATAAAAATGCACGTACGAGACATTACCGCTGGCGAATATGTGAGGCTAAACATAGCCCCGTGGACTTTGGGAGCGCGTTTCGCCCACGCGTTGTCTAACAGCTTGCACCCTCGTTGTGAAATATCCTTGGCCGGATCTCCGCGCACTCGTTGAGCTGCGATATCGCCCTTCGCCCAAGTCAGTACCGCGTAGGGGTTTGGCCCAGCATGTTACACGCGTGACGTGGTTCACTCGCTCGCGTAGATTGTCCCGTTCCCTTATCCAAGAAGACGGCATTAGTGGGGGCAAGGTAGTCTCGCAGATGTCGGGTCAAGTTGTACAACAACAGACTACTAACGTTGGCAAATCATTGGCCTATCGCTGTTCCAACACGGCATGTTTGACTGGGATTTGGCCGAGTTCAGGAACTTAGTGATTTTTTGTCTGTAGACATGCCTCTCGTTGACAATCACGTGAGATTCGGCTCATTGTCCCACCTTGTTGGTAAAGTTCAGCGAGCTTTAACGCACATTATCTTCTGCATATGCAGGGGCTCAGATTCTAGTGCACGAACAGCGACCCCCTCCAATTCTTTACTTCTTTAATTGCTTACCGATCAACAGATATTCAAAGTGTAGCCACTTTTGTACGTTACAATGTTCAGCCCTTTGTCAATGCTCTGCTGGTTAAAGGCCCCCCCCTTACGCCGTGTAGGTCGCGGGAAAGTAAATTTTAGTTGTATGACCCCAAATTTCGCTTCGCTGGTCATTGCGGGTTGAATGGAAGGGGTTGGGGAAATAATCTACATGGATATCATTCGCCGCTGGGTGTTAGACATGGCCGGCAAAA